TGTTTCTGTGTGTCTGTGTGTCTGTGTGCGTGTCTGTGCGTGTCTGTATGTGTTTCTGTGTGTGTGTCTCTGTGTGTGTTTTTCTGTGTGTGTATCTGTGTGTCTGCGTGTGTTTCTGTATGTGTGTGTGTGTGTATCTGTGTGTGTGTGTGTGTTTCTGTATGTGTGTGTGTGTGTGTGTGTGTGTGTGTGTGTGTGTGTGTGTGTGTGTGTCTCTGTGTGTGTGTGTGTTAGGTGTGTGCAGCAGCCGGCCAGGTGTGTGTGGGCGGGGCCTGTGTGTGGATCAGCCCGGGGGGAAACACACCTGTGTGTGTGGGCGGGGCTTCCAGCTGAACGCCAACAGAACCACATGCAGCGGTGAGACACTTCTGATGTTTCTGGATCATATCGTAATATTATTAATGCCATAATTTATATATAATTAATTAATTATATATATATATTGAATATTGGTTTATAGTAAATTAGTTTATATTTATATTTGTATAAATTTCATTACAAAAATATATTTAAATATATATATTTACTTATTTACTTATGAGGATGTATATATATGTATGATATTTACCATAAGTGAAACATTTACAGGACAGAAAACAGGAAAAAAAATATTTTTGTTTTCTGTCCTATAAATGTTTAATTTATGGTTAAAAAAAAAAAAAAATGTATTTATTTAATTTTTTGTGAAACATGAGTGAAATAATCGATTTTTAAAATTTTTTCCAAATCAGTTTCTGCTGATTTGATTTCCTGTGTTTATGTTTAATCAACAGAATCTTTCCTCCAAGATTGATTTATTCCAATTTGAATGTGCTATTTTGAGTGTTATCTGACTTTTTATATATAATTTCTGCTGGTTTTGTTTCTGTTTTCATTCCTCTTAATGCTGATGCAGAAACAGTTTGATCAGTTTCTTATTTTTAAATCTGAAATCTGAAATCTTCTCTGTGTTTTTTGGGTGTTTTTGTGCAGAGGTGGATGAGTGTGCACGGTCTCCAGGTGTGTGTTTGGTCGGGGAGTGTGTGAACACACCCGGCAGCTACAGGTGTGTGTGTCCACCCGGGTTCACGAGCAACAGCCAGCAGAACGGTTGCCACGGTAACGCCCACTTCCTGTCTCCCCTCCCGTTCAGTATGAAGAAAAAACACATTAGATTTATTAAAAGGGTCAGAAAATGAGCTAATGATATTCTCTATTTTTGTAAATGACTTAAAGAGAACAAAATTATTTAAAAAGTACAGAAATTATTCCTCAAACATTAGAAGAAACTTCTACATATTTTAGGAACATTTAAACAATTTTAAAGCTGAATATTGAGACATTTTTACCACAAAGTCTCCAAAAATCGTTTTTTTCTGTTAATTCTGAGCATGTTGTGGGTGTTTTTTATCATCATGAGATAAATTTAGTAATAACTAGATGACAATATGAAAAATAATTTAAAAAGCAGTCGAGAGAAGAATGAAATGAAAATATAGATTCATAAAGAAATTTAAAAGAAACTGTAAATGATCATAGAAATGAATATTTATTTCATATATATATATATTCAACATTTATTTAAATATTCTTCAATTAAATTATTTTAATAAACAATTTACAAATAATGAAAATAACTTGTCCCTATTTTATTAGAATAGTTCTTTATTTGTTAACATGTTTGTATTTGTGTCTCAGACGTGGATGAGTGTCAGCAGGAGCCCTGCTCAGACGGTCGCTGTGACAACACGCTGGGCAGCTTCAGGTGTGTCTGTCGCCATGGTTACAAGCTGGTTGGCAACACCTGCACAGGTAACTTAGAAGGGTTGGGGGTGGGGGGGCGTACTTCACAGTTAAATGTCTGTAATGATTATTGTTCATAACTGCTGACCAGGTGTGGCTCAGGTGTATCTCAGGTGTATCTCAGGTGTAGGTCAGGTATATCTCAGGTGTAGGTCAGGTGTATCTAAGTTATATCTCAGGTGTTTCTCAGGTGTATCTCAGGTGTATCTCAGGTGTATCTCAGGTGTATCTCAGGTGTATCTCAGGTGTATCTCAGGTGTATCTCAGGTGTATCTCAGGTGTATCTATGGTATATCTCAGGTGTATCTCAGGTGTATCTCAGGTATATCTCAGGTGTATCTCAGTTGTATTTTTTAGTGTGTCTCAGATGTATCTCAGGTGTATCTCAGGTGTATCTATGGTATATCTCAGGTGTATCTCAGGTGTATCTCAGGTGTATCTCTGGTATATCTGACAGATGTGGACGAGTGTGTGGACCCTCTGCGCTGTCCCGGTCAGGAGTGCCTGAACACGGCCGGATCCTTCCGCTGCGCGTCCTGTCGCCCGGGTTACGGGCTGCTGCACGGCCTCTGCACAGGTGGGTCCGCCAGAGGTCAGCTAGAGGTCAGCCAGAGGTCAGCCAGAGGTCAAACGGAGGTCAGCCAGAGGTCAAACGGAG